TATTCACCGTCACCTAGTAATTAGACGCTGTTACTAACAGCGTCATTAAATAAACTGCAAGGTGATAAATCACATTAAACTAAATTAAATGTTCAGATGCCATTAATGTTATCAAGACACTGCATCTCAACTTGACGGATCTGAGGTTGACATAGCAGTGACTACATGCAGTGCTATCTTGTGGAATCCGATGGAATATATTCTGGCATAAGTCCGCCGACATTTTGAAGGAACGTAATGACTCCATCTTTAGGGTCGAAGAGTAAGCCAAGCAAACAATCTTGAACTTCTGCCGGACTACACGGCGTCACATCCCAGAACATGGTACAACATCTCATTCGTGGGATGGAACACGAAGTAAGGGTTTCTGGAATGAGAGCAGGTGTTCTGTGTGCAAGGAAAGTGCTTGCTCGGAGTGAGAGAACAGCACAGTGCAGACAGGCCCGGCGTCTGCGTCTTACCTCTGGTTCTGCTGCGTCACACTGACCTCATCGTGCATATTTCAGTAGCCGACACCAGCAGACCGCCACCGCTTCGTTCAACAGTGGCATATGTTGACACAAAAACATTCTTACTTCTATCCAACAGAATTCAATGGCAACTGATAAAAGTAATCATGAACAACACATAAGGATCATCCGAACTAGTACCCGTCATTTTCGTACCACCAAACACGCGACAATATGTACTACGATTTATGTAAAAGTGTATCCCTCTTTTTTTTCTGTGGCCGTACAGCCCCAATTTGGGCCTAGGCCTACCTCCATGAAACTCTCCGTTTCACTTCGGTTTACTAGATCTTACACATTCGGTAGGACTCCTTGGGCGAGTGATCAGCTCGTCGTAAGGCCTCTACCTGTAGACAAACACAGAAAAACGCACACAAACATCCATGCCCTGAGTGGGATTCGAACCAACGATCTCGGCTTCCGAGCGAGCGAAGACAGTGCATGCCTTAGACCACTCGGCTACCGTGACCGGCAAAAGTGTTTCCTTAGCATGTTGTTATTGCTCTTTGAAGGTGGTCACAACTGACCGAAACATGTAAAGGCACAAAACTGAACGGTGTTGTCAATTAATTTTATAATAATTATAAATTCAGATTACAAAAAAAAGTAAAAGTTTAGTGTTGATGTTATATTAATGCAGTTATCGATTTCCTATTCACTTTCAGTCGTTTTATGTTTTGTAAACTAAATTTCGGATAGAGAACTGTCTCGAAACGTCTCTTCAAACAATATGACGATGGATAATGTTCAGAAAATCGATCATTATCATTAAATTTGCCCGATACAACATCAAAGCTTCGCAGTGTCTTCAAGATTTTTCTTCAACGCATTAAGAATGTTTCATACAAAATTTGTAGGCACGTTTGTTATATATATCCGCGTCAGATCTCCCGTACGTGCTGCAATTTATGTCCATCAAACTGAAACTTAAATATCGATTTCATGTGACTGTTCTACGGTCTACAAAAAGCTGTATATTTTGTAAGTTTAATGTACAGGGTGTTCCATTCAAACCTCCCACATTTTATCAGATCTTAGAATAGAAATTGTGAATGGCAGGAAAATGAAGCTGCAGGAAATACAAGAACTTCCTTACGTACTTACTCCTGGAGCTGAGCCCTTCTGGAGGAGCCGCCAATTCTGCAGCTACTCAAGAATTTCCCACCATTTTATGGAACCCGAAGGTTCATCACCGTGTTCACAGGCGTCCTCCACTGGTCCCTATCCTGAGCCAGAGCTATCTAATCCGTACCATCCCATCCTATCTCTCTAAGATCCATTCTAATATTGTCCATCCACCTACGCCTTTGTCTTCCCAGTGGTCTCTTTTTTTTTCGGGATTTCCTACCAATATCCTATACGCAATCCTCGTCTCCTCCATTCGTGCTACATGACCTGCCCACCTCATCCTCCTTGATTTGATCATTGTAATTATACTTGGAGAAGAGTACAAGTTAGAACAACTAATACAAGAACTCAAAAAATTTTATTTGACATACTAATAAACCTCTACATATGCACCATTGGTAGCACGAACAATATCCAGTCTGTATTCAGTTTCTTGCCACGTTCTTTCCAACATGTCCATTGCTAAGTAGCAATCGTTCCAGGGATCCGGGCTTGTAAATCTGGGAGGTCATTCGCTGGAGGCACTGTTTGCGGTGGGAAGTGTTTGTCGCGTAAAGCGGTTCATAACTGGGTTGATAAATCCTCTCAAGGACGCTAGAAAGTCGCGGATGATGCCCGACCAGGCGCCGAAGTCGTTGAGACAACAGTAAAAAAGACTTCTACGCTGTGGGTTTCGACGCACTGGTAAAGCGATTGGACAAGTGTATCAATGTCGGTGTAGATATGTCGAGAAATAAATATACTTCCTGTTTAGACTTTCACGTGTTTTATATTTTATATCCATTTGTGGCCTGTTTACTGACTCTATCTCGTATAATGCTGGATATCATGCACGTATGCTTTGTTTGTTTCGGCAGGTTTGTGCTGTCCTGTTTTTGGGTGGTTACAGGGATAGCTTTATCTTTTTTTAGCCTTTCCCCTTTTTAAAGGGTTTCCTAGTAAGTTCCGTCATTTCGTTTTGATAATATCACTTCATCTGCCCAGATATAATTCAATATCCACCATGTCTTGATAGAAAGTTTAACGGCAGCTAAGCCAGCAAATTGCTTTATGCAAAGCAAGAGAGAGACAGAGACAGAGACAGAAAAGGGAAGACATATTTTAAGAAGACTTGACAAGAAAGTACTTTCATTACGTCGTATTCCATTACTAAAGTCAGTTTTAAGTAGCTTTTAAGGTTTAATCCAATAAACACACTTGTTTCAACGAAGATAATAGACGATCCTACAATACCTTGCCACGAAGGCCTCTGGACGGTAAATTCCGGAGCAATGTGAGATTAAAGTGTTCACTATAGCAATAACAATGATAATACTGTCACGTGTATGAGTGACTACAGATGGAGTTTGGGTTCGTAAACGGATATATTGACTTCTTTAACACACAACTCTTTATGAAACCTTACAAATCACTGTCACACACAGCATAACGTTCTCAGCCTGTTACATTCTCAACTAGCTGTTGCTTGATAGCGGTTTCCAACGGTGAATGTTCCCCTTTCTCTGGGTTCCCGAAATATCCCCGGCCTCAGATACTAACGGCAGAAGTTCCGTCAATAACCCACTCACTCGCCAACCAACTCCTCACTAAATTTAGTTCCTAAATGTCCTGCTTACAATATCTCGACACGGACCGTGTAGGAAATACTGCTTCCTATTATTGTTGTATTATCTTGTGGCTGTGGAACTGTTGCGTTCGTGTCTGTTGCGGAGCCGTTATCCAGCAATGGGTCTTGCATAGTTGCTTGTTTCACGGTCGTTGCCTAGCAATGGGCCTACATGCGACAATAATAGTAATAATACAAAACAGCAATTAACAGTAGCTTTCAAGATCTAAGGAGCACAGTTTGAAGAACGGTTAGGAATCCCGCTCGGGACACGAATGCATATCACCGTTTTCCTATTTCTGTTTCCGTTTGCAGGACGCGGTAGCGTAGTTGGTTGAGGGGCTATGCTACAAGCTGGAAGGTCGCGTGTTCAAGTTCCGATGAGGTAACTGGATTTTTTTAAATTGACCTAATCCTTCCAGCCGCTCTATGGCCCTGGGGTCGACTCAGCCTCTAACAGAAATGAGTACCAGGAATTAATTAAATAATTTTCCTGTGGAGTAAAGCGCGGCTGACGCGTAAGGCTGACAACCTTACCACCATCTTTGAGTCGATTGTCTAGATAAACGTTCCTCCGAAACGTCGATTCACACAAGATCTAATGGCGCCACATCCCAGAAGACGTCATTCTTCAAATAGTAATTTAATTTACAAGCATAAGGTCACTACAGCTGAAATTTTAACAGGCTAAAAGTCTGTTATCAATCATTGTTCTAACAAAGAGCAATAAAGACATCCATACTCTTATGAATTAAACTTCTCTGACAAAATTGCAAACTGTATCTCTGTCAACATCAACAGATTTCCTTTTATTTTAGGGTGAGGACAAACTGCATGCTAAAAAGGAAGGTGGGCAGGAGACAGAAGGACATAGGAAAGAAGCAAATTGAAAGAGAAAGAAGGAAATCGACTTTTAAACATTTATATGCTCGGGTCTGATGGAATTGCAGGAAACTGTAGTCAGTAGGCCTAATTAGAAAGAAAAAAAACAAAACAAAAGAAAATTGCAACTGAAAACATAGGGGAAGCACATTCGCTGTACAACTGCGTAACTAAATGAAAAATGTTTGTTTCCTTTCTAGACGAAACTTTTCTTGGGGCCATGGCAGCCAATTCCTCACATTAAACTTTTATTATGTGTGGGAGGTTCCTGAAACATTTAGGACAGGACAATAACAAAGGTAGTCTTGGTTTTATATTGTGAAACATTTGTGTACTGTGAACCGATTCAGGAATTCTGTCTGCCTGGATGAAGTGAGGAGGCACAGGACTAATAACTCCACACAACAGAGTTCTTCTTCAGAACCTGGGCTCATCAAGAAACCTCCCGTCTTTTCTCAAACCGGAAATCCATTTCCGTGCTTATAAGGGCTGGTAGCAGTTTCTCCTAAATTAGACATATCCAGGCTGCACCATCATAACCATTTGTTTAAGATATATTTTAAAATTATTTTCCATCTACGCATTGGTCTGTCAATTGGGCCCTTCCCTCCTGGGTTTCCTTCAAAGAAAATGTGTGCATTTATCATTCACCGCTTGCGTGAATGTTAATCTCTCTGCGGCTTCTTGTCTCATGCATTCACAGCTGATCTCCACACCTGAAGCTCCATATTCTCGTCATGTGAAGACGCGCCATGCCGTCGTGACACGGGACCACTGAACTAATTATCGTCTTCCTTAGAATGCACAGCATCAATATGCACAAGAGATAGACTGAAAATAGGTCATTAGTTGCTGTAACTAGAGTGTCTACCCACCTATGCCTCTGAAGATGGTTCCCCGTTCTCTCCAAACACTTTTCTTGGTCTTTTATCTCTGGAGTTCCCACTGTCAGGTGTTGCAGCCATAAAGCACAAAGCCTTCAAACTAGGGGCAGACTCGTGACTCAGCAGACACGCCAGTGCGGGCAACAGCTACTGCGTAACTTCCGCATTCTTGAAATATCTGTAACAAGTACGTGCGTGTGCTCATTCTTCTCTGTCTGCATACCAATAATTCTTCCTGTCTGTACACTGCACAATTCTAATATTTCCGCTTTATAAACGAAAGAAAAGCAGGAGGAAGGTTTAGGTAAAACAGCAGTATTAAACAGCAAGGAAAATTTCAACACCACTATCGCAAGAACACGTCATCTATCGTAGTAATGAGCCAGTTCTGTCCACCTCCGGTACTCACAACCTTTTTCATACGATCAATACTATCCACTCATTTCCTTCTCCGTCGTCAGGTTTTCGGTTTCCCATGAGAGTTCCTCGCAAAATTATACGTGCATTCCTTGTCTCCTCCTTACAAGCCCGTAAATACTTTCTCAACCTCCTCGACGTCACTATCATAAGTGCGCTGAATGACCTGTGTACACAACAAATCTCCTCTTGATGTAATATCGCAGACCTAGTCTTTCTGTATTCCAAATATTTTCGTGACTACTATAATAACTTACTTTAACGGCAGCAGAGATCTCCTCGACAAGCTGATAGTCGCTCAGGTAGTCAATAAATTATCCCACCTTTCATAAACCCCGAAATTTCTACAGAGCGCCCGTCACTGGATCCTGTCGTAACTAGAATCCACCCCACAACTCCACACCCTAGGCCAGTGCTTTTTAACATGTACTGGGACGAAATGTGTTTTGAACACAAGTCGCAGATAAGCAAGAGACATACACTGCACACTATCTCTTACAATTTCTCAGGCGATTAAGCAGACGACAGTGAATGCGCCAGAGTTATGCGATACGTGCACTTCCTAAAGTTTTCCATCACCTCGTTCATCTAACCTGCAAAATATTTTTCGTCACCTCTCCTAACTAACCACACTGTCGTTCCATGCCGGCTAGAACCCCGCTCCTCAGTTCGCCCAATGGCGGCGCCACCTCCGAGGCATTTTCAAATGCCACAGCTGTAGAATAGCTGCCAAAAAGTCCCAAAGTTGACCATCTACTGAAATTGCAGCGCCTACAAAACAAGGTTCTCCTCGCCACTGGCAATTTTCCAAGGCGCACACCGGTTCGTGGTTTGTTCATGGCTTTGAAACTTCCGTACATAGGATTATATAACAAAATTATACAGGCAACAAGAAGAAGTCATATATAATCATGAAAATGCTAATTTTCGCCATAGTGTACAAGGCGAAGCCCGACACAGGAAATATAAGAGGCTTAAACTTGGCGGCGGCCAGGCATACAACCGTTCAAGTGACTAGGCTACCGTTGTAGCGGAAGTTACTAAAGATTGGATATGATCTACTGTACATTTTATAACATGTATAACACGTAAAATGTAAATATATTGTACATTATAACTGACATATTGCTGCTGACAATTACTGACGAAAAACAGACCCATCCTCTTGTCAGAGAGGGTACCCCATAATGACAAGACTAACTGATATCTTGTCATGGGCTCCAGATTGCGCTCGACACCAAAACTGACTAATTGACCCACGGTTAATTGCAATGTGACTTTAATCCAAAATTAATGTGAAGATGGCAACCACATGGCTTGCGAAAACATTGAATCCTTTCAACATTCGATGTGGCCTACTGCCAAAAACCGAAGCCACAGATTAAACCCCGTTAAGAAAACCCAAGAACTGGAAGTTTCCAAATTTTTCTTCGTATGGACACATTAAAGTAAAAGCTGTGCCAGCATATAGTAGCTCACAAAAAGTTTTTAGTTGCCATGAGTTCACTGTCTGGTAGAGCTCCTGTCAAGTAATCGGTTTCCATACCTAACCTTTCCGTGGCAACTGAACTGGCCGTTGTGAAACACTGCAGTGACTGCTATCAGCTACACTAACGCTATTATGTGGATAACATTTGATAATCTTTCTCATTCATAGCCTTACAAGCTGCATTAAATTAATTCCGAAAAAAAACAGGCATATAGCGAGAAAGTAAACTCGTCTTAATTTCGAATTAATCTTCTTTTTCGTAAATTCTAAAACAACTTAATTCACTTTTGTATGTATTTTAATTAATTTTTTTAATTCGCTTAGTGGGGGGGTGGGGGTGGAGTCCAAAGATTGGCAGGGGAAACCGAAGTATTCGAAGAAAACCCGCCCCAGCGCCACTTTGTCCACCACAAATCCCACTTGACCAGACCCCGGGATCGAACCCGGGCCGCCGCGGTGGGAAGCCAGCTTTGGGTGTAACTTCAGTTCCGTACTGCAATCTAACAATTCGAAGACGCACGTTTCAAAGAAGGAAACTGCTCAGACTCACGACAAACTGCAACAGTACACAATGCCTCACTAAAAACAAATTTCCATTTCTGCACTGTATTCGGAATATTCAAGGGAACGAACCAAGTCGGCGGATTTCATATGAAATTTTCCTCCGGAAAGAGGTCTAAATAATGAAGAAAGCAGTCTTCTGGGATTTGGCACCGTGTATATGTGGTGTTAACCGACGTTTCGGAGGAACGTATCGCCTCCATCTTCAGGGTAGAAGAAAAAATATCTGCTTTTATCGGTTCTCGCGGTGTCTTCGCTTGCAGATTTCTTATATTTTTTCTTCTACCCTGAAGATGGAGGCGATACGTTCCTCCGAAACGTCGGTTAACACCACATATAGACGGTGCCAAATCCCAGAAGACTGCTTTCTTCATAGTCACCGCCGTGAAAGCCTCAAATATTACACAGGTCTAAATAATGTTCCTTTCTCGTCACACCTCTTTCACCTCAATCATATTGCTACTACTTACGTCATACTGTTACTAGCTCCACTACTGCTAATGTTATTACCGCTGCTACCACTAGTATTAGTGATATTAATGCTACTTAAAAGGGCAAGAAAGTTAAAGCTATCCCTGTAACAGGCCGTGGAGGCTTATAGGGTTGTGAGACGTCGAGGTTGCCGCATTTTCTAGACAGTCAGCTCACAGATGGCGGTAAGGTTGCCTGCCTCAAGCGCCTTTATCCCCAGGGAGATTCCTGGTACTCATTTCTGTTAGAGGCTGAGTCGACCTGAGGGCCATAATGCGGATGAAATAAATAGGTCAATTGAAAAATTCAGTGACCTCATCGAGAATCGAACCCGCGACCTTCCGGCTTGTAACATAGTGCCTCAATCAACTATGCTATCGCGTGCCCCACTATTACTAATACTACTACTACTAATAATAAATAACACTAATACAACACTTTTTGAACGTTGTTGAACTTGTCAAAATATTCAATGTTGTCATGTAATTCGGCTTATCAAAATTTTCACCTCCGCGTTCATAGAATCCTCTCAAAATGGAGGAGCCGTTCACAATAGCTTTCTCTACGGACCAAATAGGTGGCTGTGCCCAAATTGCTTAAAATCTTTTAGAGAATTTAGCACAAACTGGTGAATGTGGTCAGTTGGAAACGGGTTATGTTGGCGAGCCTTCATCTGGAGGGACAAAAATGAGGGGCGAGAATTCCCCGAGCGACGTTGGCAGGTGGCGCAAGAGAGACAGACGAACTGATATTGGAATTCTTTTCACTCAACTTGGCAAATCTCATAACCAGTTTCCGTCTTTTTTTCTTTTCTCGTAGAAACTGCACGGAAAATATTTATGAATTATCGATTTGTGATTGAGATTTAAACGCGTACTTTAGAATCTCCTGGACAGAACCTGGTACTTTTAAAATGACTGTGTGCGCCTGTCAGACTTTAGAAATTGGCCTAAAATTCATAATTAAAGGTTATTTTCAACCACTTTACATTTATTCGGGAAACCTACATAACGTGAGAAACGGCTTTCAATACTTGGAGCCAAAATTAGATAACAATTTTGAAATGAGATTTTTATATATAAAGTAAAAAAAAAGTTGTTCCACCTGCTTAACTAATTAAGCACTACGGCATGAAGGTGTATGGAGGAGTATAGATCCACATTTTCTTGACCTCGGCACTGACTGGAGGTGAGTGGTCAACTTCACGGTCCGGCCGCTTTACCCCCAGGATAAGAGTTTGGGTGAACTCCAGATACGGCCTGGACGAATTGAAGAGAAAATTCTTAAACTTACCAGGACTCGAACTCCGACCACTTGGCCGTCCTGCCCGTAACCAGTTGCTATACCGACTGAGCTATCATGGCGCCTGAGATTCTTTTATTTGTGTGAAGGTAAAATAGTATTGGAAAGATATGAGATTCTCATGAGGATTAAGCTTTATGGGATGTCACGCCTTGTAGTGTTGCACGTATTGTCAGCGTTTCGGAAGACACTGCTGCTGTCATCTTCAAGATGAAGGAGGCGCCATGTTAACAAAAAGTGCAACCTGTTTATCAGACTATGGCGTCAAGTCCCAGAATACTCTATTGTAAACACTTGAATGTTATCACAATTCGTTGCATTTCAACAACAGCTTATAAGACATCTTATCATAGTAAGAATTGGCATCTTCGCTTAAAATATAAACTGAATGACAACAAACTGAAACATAATCTTAGCTCCATTTTCTGTCCTTCATTCAATTTTATTGTGAGAATCTATGAATTCGCTTCATAGCTTGTACGCTTCTCCAAGTTATAATTAGAATGATCAGTAAAGGAGGATGAGGTGGGCAGTGCATGTAGCACGAATGGGGTAGAAGAGGAATGCATATAGAATATTGATGGGAAAGCCAGAAGGAAAGAGACCACTGGGAACACCAAGGCGTAGGTGGTTGGACAATATTAAAATGGATATAGATAGGATGGGATGATATGGATTGGATTGATCTGGCTCAAGATATGGACCACTGAAAGGCTCTTATGAACACGGTAATGAACTTTCGGGTTTCATAAAATGCTGGGAAATTCTTGAGTAGCTGCAGATTTGGCTTCTCCTCAAGAGGGGCTCGGCTCCATGAGTGAGTGAATCTATGAATTCCGCGACAAAAGTAAATGACACTGACTGATATCAGATATTCAAGTCTCGAGGCCGGAATGCTACACAGAATCAGGTCAAAGGAAATGCTGTAGAATACTGAA